AGCTGCTTAAGCACAAAATTTGCTTAAGCATAAAAAACCTTGCTTAAAAAAACAAAGGTTACCAGCTCAAAATTTATGTGATTGTCATGCTAACCAAAAGACAGGTGAATACCATGCCAAAACAATATACATCACATGGAATTTTGGCCGGTAACCTTATTTATCAAGTAAGGTTTTTTCACGCTTAAGCAAATTTTGTGCTTAAGTAGCTCTATGAAATTGGCCCCTGGTTGTGTTACAGACAAGCTTCAAAGAAAAGTTTAAGAGTGGAATAAATTTTGCTGTGGTATGCAGACACCCAATTTACTAAGGAGTGGTTGTTCAGAAATTCCCTCTGAATTATGTGCAATTTTATACACAAAACTCACATTTTGTAATTATGATAATGTTGAACACACTGCATTGAATTACTAATCATCCTATCAGAAAAGGAAAATTTACTTAAAAAAATATTCCTATGAATCTACGGTTACAAACTACATGTACATTGAAGGGTTTTTCTATGCTGTGCTGTTTGATGGGTACATGTCTTTTTCTGCGCCCATACTGATGGACATTCTTTCTTAATGTCTGTAAATTACGAGGTCATGCTTTAAAAATAGTGCAACTCAACAATGTTGCCTATTTTATTATCATTATTATTCTTATTTGTGGTTTATTAACCAAACTCTCAAAGCCAAAGGCTAAGTTTCAGTTTGATTTACAATTATTACATTAAAACTATAAAAGTTACAATGAATTACATGTATGTCAAAACAGAACAGTACAAAAATACAGGTATACACATCAAATAAAAAGTTTATATAAAATTGATTGATAAAAACACCAAAATTTCATCAAGCAGTTGAATGATTAAAATGACATACAAAACCAAAAGAACACTAGATACATGCATACAAACCACCGTATCAACATACACACATGCAAAGTGTACACTACCCCCCCCGGGCAATGCAAACCGACCCCAAACCTCCCAAAACCAACCCTCACAAATATCTTCTTCATGACAACAAAGTACTACAGCTATCAGGATTTTCTCTACATGACTCTCTTAAATTTGGTTTGAGAACAGAACAGAGTTACCCGGTATGTCGAGTAAGTCACAAGTCAACACAAATCAGTTACGAGTCATTCAGTCCAAACTCAACTCACAAGCTTTATGTACATGTGTTTACATAAACTGAAGCAAAACATCTCTTTGACAGTGGTAATCTCGTTAGTTCTGGCCTGATCTGTGAACTGAATTGCTAACTAACTAAATTGTGGAATGACATGATCAACTTGTGGAGCACTTGATTACAACTCCGAATCAGAGGCATTACAAACAGTATTTATCAGGTGTTTCTGAATAATTTGAGGCACAAAATTGTTTTGGTCCCCCCCCATTTTAAATTTCTATCTAACCTTTTATGACCTTCCGAGGCATGAGGCTTTATTTGGGGGATTTTTATATGCTTCTGGAAGGAAGAGAATTGGAGGGAAGAGAATTGAAGTGAAAATGTCCTCCCAAACCTGCTAGACGTAATTACCTGACTACATACTTGGGAATCATGTGAAAACAGTCAGGAATTTTCTCAACTTTTATCACAATTTGCAAATTCTACTTCAGATCACTGACTTGTATTTTAATAGGCATGTTGAAGAAGCTCCTGCAATGATCAATGAACATAAGAACAAACTCACAAGACTGGAACACAGTTGAGTTTCTCATAATGTTTATGAAAAGAGGTTTAAGCATGGAGCTACATGTATGGTTTAACCATTAATGAGGGAATGCTCATGACATTGAACACAAACACACTCCAAGGAGAACTGCACAGGAGGTTTTCTGATACATAGTGATTTGTTTCTAATTTTTGATTAAATGACTTTTTTTTCTTTTTGGTTCCTTCACTCATGAATGTTACAGAGAAACTCAAATAGATTCTTCTTTTCTTGCACAGAACATTCCACATACATGAGTGTCATGATTCTGTCCACGTGGTGAACCTTTATTTTTCATTGGCATTCCAACTTCACTGTTAATTTATGCGAGATTCCACCATGAGGATAATATTTGTCACATTTTTTCAAGCACTGTGGAGGGTATGCGGTATATGGTATGCTGACTTTCATGTTTAAGTGGGCCACTTCTGCAGCATTATCTTAATGTGAACCAGAAAATGTACATGTAAGAGGTCAATGTGACTAAAGATCCAACCTGACTATAATGGAGACACTGTTTATCAAGACAGTTTTTATTGAAGAATGTAATCAGATTAATTCTCAAAATAGAGGGAATATGGACTTTAGGGGGATGGAAGTGTTGAACATGTACATGTGCCTTTTTACTGACTACTTAATATTTAAGCACAAACAATTTTGCAATATTTCATTTTTGCTCCCAAGTTTTTTAAACACTTGGTATTGCAGTTCCTGATAACAGTCCTCTACAATAGACACAGTCCACATTAGTTGACCCAGCATCGCTTAGATTCTACACACGGGCTTCCCGTTTGTCACATTTGTTGCCTGATTAGCTAATTGTGTTCCTTCCAAAGTCTACAAAAGATGTGGTTTATCTTTCTACCAAGCCATGTACATTGTACATGTATGCAGTGTAATAATCAAAACATTTTTAAAAGCCTGTTCACATAATTTTTCTTTTCATGAATTTACTAAAACTTGAAAGGTTTGAGCAATTTTAGAGATACCAGTATATACATGTCATGCTTTAATCTTCAGTCACGGGGCAATTTTTGTCATAAAGGGAATGCTATCTTGAAACTGCTACACATGTACAGAATCACAATGAATCTTTCCTGAAGGACCTGACACATGCCTGGGGCCTCACAAAAGCCACTGCCCATTAACAAATTGTGTGAATTCTACAGAGTGAAAATGGAAAGATGCTGAACTGGTTCAAGTGCTGTTTCCATAGCATCAATGGGATGATAATCCAATCAATCAGGGGAAAAAAACATGACAACAATCTCTCCAGATAAGGTCTGTATTCCTTCTCTGTGCCTCTCCATGAATCGATGTATGATATAAAAATGAAAGACTCGAGTTGCTATAGTGTACAAGTGAATAACAGTGACATAAGCTGAAAGACTCCATGTACATGTATTTGCAGCAAAAATCAAACCATGCCTCGTGAAGTGGCAATGTCCGATTTTTTTTTACTGTAGATCACAGTGTTTTTGTAGTATTGCTTTGGCAAAATAAGCATTTTAAAAATTCCTTTCTAGTTATAATATCGTATGTACATGTGTCTATCCACTTACATGTATACCAATCAAACCCATTTAGAATTTAACCAGTGATGTAACTAGTGTTAGATTTCGGGAGGGGAAGAACTTGGAAGAGTCTTCACGAAGACAAAGTGTGGTTTTGAAAATATACATGGTACATGTACACATTTTGCTTAAGAAATCACTTTTATATAAAACTTAAAGCGCTGCAGTATTCCGTTCTGTGTAACAAGTAAGCACTCATTTCTGGATACAAAACATACAAGACAATTTAAACACAAGCAATTGTTTTCCTTTTATAAACAGATGTTGTATAAACAGGTATTTGTACGATCTCCAATCATGGCAGCTTGCATGTAAGAGTGATTTTTGGCTAGCTAGACAGTCCTTGGGCATGCCCATGAAGCAAGTCAATGAGATATTTGCATTTAAGGCAAAAAATACCATTAAATGTACTGGGTAGCGTATAAATTATAATATGAACGTGCCATTTAATCAACTGAGTTAGCTAAAAATAATTTATAAATGGTCATCATTATGGAGTCATTGTACAAAGTCATGTCTATTCTGTTGCAATGGACATAATGGAGTCAGGCACTTTTTAGAAAGATGGAATGCAAAAGGAATAGGAGTTGCTGAGGCAAATACATTGTAAGTCCAAACAGCCTATGCAGCCATGAAGTCAGAATGCATTGAGAATGACGTACCGGTACATGTACATTAGGCAGTCAATTATGACTCGGTAGCTGGCTCTGAAGTGGAATACATGAAAGGTGGGGAATTCTTCACATTTCGCAAAAATGACCACAAATCTGAGTTTAGAGGGGCAGATACTTTACATCCCATCTACAAATCACCATTGATTTGGCAGACAGAATTTTGTATTGAACCATTCCGTTTTTCAAGATCAAGTATTATCGGCTACATGTAAATAACCCCTGCCCCATCATGTCCATATCTTTTTAACTTGTTTCCCTAGACAGGCCTACATGTACTGAATAACGTGAACCATGTTCTCTAACGTACATGACCGTATAGTCACCAGGTCCCTAATTTCGCTACCTATTGTCTCATTGGTTTTCACAGTTAGGCCTAGGCCTCGTGGCCGAATAAGGGACCTGGCCAGGGTATACCATCACACACAGTAGAAGAGTAATCTTAAGATCCCTTAAGTTTAAAATTAACCAGCAGAACCCCTTTTAATCTTGTTCGATAAATGAGCCTACATCACACTCAAAACCTACAATGGCCCGATGCAGAATTCTTGCCGCAACGTGCTCAATACTACTAGCAAACTTACAAGTTCCATTCAGATTCAATGTTCTGCGAGTAAGGACGTCTCCCCAGTACAAAATCAGCAGCGGGAGTAGTGTGAGTGGATGGTTACCTGACAACAAACAGAAGCGTCGAAGAGCTCAAACTTCAAGTAGGTTTTGTGACGATCATGAAATTCAAGGGACGACCACCCTCGGACATACAACTCAATAATATAATATAATATTATACAACTTTCTGTATTAATCTTACTAAGATCTGGCAAATATCTCAGTCATTCACGGGAGAAGAAGAGATGATTCCTCCCTCGGGTCAACGCATTTCCTTCGTGCCCTTCGAACTGCGTGCTAGTCTGGTGGTCCTAGTCTGTTCTAGACCTTCGGAGTAGTAGCGCTATTACTTTCGCTTAACGAACAGGGAGCCAATCAGTGCTTTGGACAGGTACCCAGGCGTCTTGTGAACTGTACGTGATATTGCAATTCTGCTGCAGAACTGCTATTTGCAAAACGTAAACAAAGTAGCCCTGTGTAGGGATTCCCATTGAATCCCGGCCCATTTAACAATTTTTAATGTTCCAGCACCGCTTAATTGCTGCGTTTTCCACAAAATTACAAACAACATAGTAACCTGTTTGCAGGGAACACGTTCTTCTTCTAGTGCTTGTATCCCTTTTATGCTGATGGCAAGTATTTGTCACGTCACTGATTGTCTGGTGTAATCAGTAATGTTTTGTTTCGGCATAGCTGACATGGTGTTGTTACGCTCCAACTATAGCATCAGTCCCAACTCTAGTTGGGCCCGTCCCAACTAGAGTGCTACAGTTGGGCTGGTCCAACTACAGCAGAGAGGTCCTGTGTACATGGTGTGCCCAGCATGTGCCAAAGTCATATTGTTCACAAATGTCATGTCATCGGTCATACATGTAGGGCTAGATGAACAGATGAAGTGCCACATTTTAGATGAATTGTGTCACGTGTGAGACACACTGACTTGGATAATATTGAGACCTTTCCCACAGACATTGGTCAACAATAGTTGGGCCAGCCCAACTGCAGCACTACCGTTGGGACTGTCCCAACTATAGTTGGGACTTATGCTATAGTTGAGGCGTAACAGTGTCATTCCTATTTTCTGAATGTCATTGTAATACTAACTTTTACGAAACCCTTGGAAGTTCAGTGCAGTCTTGACTCCTATGGAGTTCATTCAAAGGCAAATCAACTGCGAATGCAGTACAATAAATTTGAGTACAATAAATTTGCACAAGATTTAAGAATGTGCTAAAAAGAAGCATTTTCGCTGCACTTGTGGTTACTTCCTGAACTGTAAGGTTTATATAAACCTTACAGTTCTTGAAGTAACTTGTGGTAGGAAAGAAGAGGAATTGCACATCTTGGGACATTTTTAAAATCATTTATTTTTGTAAATCAACGCAAATCATGGCATTCTTTCCATGTTAGCACTAAACAGTTGCAGTTGCATCGTTATCCGTGCCAAAAGACTATAATAATGTGTCTGTGACTTTACTTGGACTTTTGCAGGCTTAACAATACCAGTTCTTTCATTTGCTTCACTGTATTTTTCACAAAGCTGGCAATCTATGGTTTAAAAAAAATGAAAATGTAATGGGACAAGAATGATTAACTGAGGAATCATTCACTTTTGCCATAGATATGTCTTGTTCAGTCTGTTCAAGCCAGGATGGTTCTACCACAAACACTCCAAGTGAGTTAGACAGTCAGCTGTCATCGGAGAGGGAGTGTGCTAGATCTCCCACATTAATGAAGCAGGACTCCATCTCAGATCAGCAGGCAGAATCCTCTTCTTCGCTGTCTTCCTCCTCCTCGTCACCCACGTGCTGCAAAGAAGAGAAAGTGGAGATGACCTGCACGGTCCAGGATTGCGGGAAGTCAGCCTACAAGTCGCGCCGGTACCAGCTGCTGCCATGGAAGTGCAAGTACCACCGGAATAAGACCTACAAAGAGACCTACAAGAGGCGGAAAGCCCAGGCAAACCAGGTGAGGCAATGGGCTGGGTCGGGTCAAGTTAGGTCAGATTTACTTGGATTACTCTTGGATGAGATCATGAGAAGGGATCTTCCTCATTTTCTTTCAATTTCTCCAGCCAAAACAAAATCTCAAGGCAAAGTACCTTAGCATAGATCCAGTGGCCATAACTGTCACAAGCAACGCTCCAATTTCTGTCATAATAGACTTCAACACATTGAAGCATCCAAGGGGCGAGGGCCCCCAAGAGGTTGAAGAGGTTGTCCATTTTTTTTTTTTTTAACTTTCTAGAAAATGAAGATCCAAGATAAACCTACATCTTAAAACCACTAGTCCTGATACAGCCGTACACTGTACATCCTAGTCCCCTCTGGTGCATCCGTAGAGAGGGGAATATAGAATCATGAGGGTTTGGGGGGAGGGGAGTTGCATTCTGAGGCCACTCCCCCAACAAATCCAGGATGTGCCTCTGTTTCATCTGGTTGACAACAAGCCAGTATTCACCCTCTCCTTCTTTTTTCCTTAGTGCTTATCATAAAATATTGTTCCTGTTCTTCCTTGTGCAGGATTTGTTTAATGTGGAAGGGAAGAGCACGGGTCTTGACATGCAAGGGGACAGGTTCGGAGCAACAACCAGACAAAGACAGGGGGAGCAGGTCTCCATGCTGGAACAGGTGCTGAATGAGAAAAAGATGGTCAGTAGATGAGCAGAACGATTCATATTTCTGCTGTAAATGTGAGATAATCAGGCATATAAGGCATGTTTGGACAAATGCTCTTCCAAAAACTCCCAATTTATGCTAGTGCCAGCTTCTTTTTTATCAGGAGTTTTTTCCTCCAAAGTCCAAACCGAAGTGTCTCATCACGTTTGATTTCCCCTAAGGATCAAAACCTTTACCTGAAAGAAACCAGTTTAGACTTTATTCATGGGTCTGCCACATTGCAATTGAAAGCGAGTTTAATTCTTCATTTTTGAATGTTGAGAGTAGAAATAAAAGCAAATTAGAACCTGTCTACTCTGATAAATTCAAATTTCTGATCAAATACATGTTTACATTATTGTACCTAAGTGTTCTTAGCCAGATTTAGAAAAAGTATTAAAAGGGAGGCTTGGAATGCATGGCAAACTTTAAACTGTCTTGGGCTATCCTAATAGTCAGTTTATAATTTTATAAAACAGATTCAGGGAATAAGATTGAAATTGGCTTCTACGTGAATGAGGTGTACTGAGGTATCGAGATAACTTCAACATTGAAGAACATCATAGTATAGTTGCATTCCTTTCAACCTTTTTTTTTCTAAAGGGCAATTTGCCAAAGTTCTCACCATTTTTTGTCACTGTCTTTTTTCTGTTTTTTACCCTCCAGGCTTTGATGCAATCCCCCGTTGTCCTGGAATTCCTACAGAAACAGCAACAGAGGAAACACCACCAGCAGAAACACCAGCAGAAGAGCTGGGGGCTACAGCAAATCCGTGGCCGAGGCCAACCCTCGCACCGCTGACGGACACGCTCACTCATGTCAGTTGAGTGTTTTGAGTCAGGTCAGAAAACCTGTGCTGGAATGCGGCTGTCGCCTCCTCTGTGCCGTTGCACTTTGGGGGGGGAGTGTCAACCAGTGTGTTACAACAGATATTAGGTGTTGTGTGACAGTCCACCTACGGGGTCTTGGCCTTACAGATGTTTAACCTCGGAAGTGAAAAACCTCAAACAGGAAACAATGTTTCTGTTATCAAGGAAACGGTTCACTACCCATGCGAGTCATGGAGCATGTCATGTTGCATGCTTAAAGTATGTTCAGTTGAAGAAATTTTAGACATGGAATGTATGGTGTTGGACCGAATCAAATCTCAACTTTGATAAAAAACTGCAACTACAGTACGTGCAATAAGCAAATTGGACCAAATGCTTAACACATTGCTCTAAACTTCTAGACCTAGGGTTAGCGTGTGGACTAGTGGGCCATTTAAGGTGAGGTTTTCAAATGCATCTCCGAACTTTAAAGCAGTGTAATTGCCGTCATCCAGGTTTCACTACATGTATGTTTTGAAGATGTGGTAAAACCTTTTTTTGGGGGGGGGTATTTATCATCAAAGTGATGGGGGGGAATCAGTACCACCCCTTCATCCACAGCCCGTCATTAAAAGGAAATAAAAAAACTACTGTGTTAATATCTTGGGCTTTCAATTAATATAATTTATGACAAAGATAAAACATACAAGTAGACGTCTATGTCCATAAATACTATGCTTACTCACTTGGTTTCAATAAGCCAAGCAGTTTTCAATGGTTTTTAGGCTTAGATTTCTTGTTGGAGCTCATAAGATGTATTTCATGAGTATTTCAGTACCTCAACTCTCATGATCAAGGGAGTTGATGGGTAACATATCTGGCAATTGAATTAATGGAAATTTGGAAATTGTACATCTTGACCAAATATTTGGACCAAAACTGTTCACTGTGAAGAATGCTGCAACACATGTTTGTGTGAATGAAAGGTGAACGTTATATTTCAGACTTATTCAGATTACATTTGTCAAGTTTCTACAGTTGTTTTGCAAGTTGTGATCAAGTGTTTGTCATTTAATCAAATAACTCTCTTTAAGATTTTGATTTTGAAACGGTTTTTGCCCTTATTAAATTTAATGTCGTCTGTATGACTGTCCATTATTTTGTTGCTTGGTTTGATCCATTATCTTGTGAGAAATGAGCATTCAGAATATAACATAAACTGTATTTATCTCGAATAATTATGTGCTATTTGTATCTGTTTCCTTTGCTAAGCATCTTATTTTTATCGCCCCTATCTAAGCTTTTCTTTCGGGCCAGTTTTGTTCTTAGGACGGAGATCATCCCTAAGGTTGCAGGCCCGGCAGTAGGGCCAAAATTGCCTGTGTGGACCGAATCATTTTTCAGGCTATCAAATTCACTGCTGTTAAAGCGGTTAGTGGCACTTAGACTGGGTGGTTTGTAGAGGAGGATGGAATGTACCAGCAGGACTGCCAGCTGGTATTTCTGAAAGTAGCGTGGACCAAACAGGGCCCTCCAAATCACTTCTGAGTAGAGTGTAGGCATCAATTTTCAAAATGGTGCTGAGCCGTATGATCATTTCGAAGGGTGATTATCTCTGGAGAGAAATATCTTCAAAACACCCTGGTGGCAGAACTGGGGGGGGGGGGCAGTGGCCCCCACTTTTTTCACTGGGGGCCCAAAGTCCCCACCCCTGTAAAAATTGTGCCACTGCTGCTGGGTTAAGCCACTGAAAATTGAAAGATAAGGAAGTAAGCTTTAATATGATATGTGTCTTGAACACCTGAAACCTGTACTTTTCCTGATTTTTAAAATCTTTTTTGTTTATTTGGGGGTACATTGTATTTACAACTGTTGCCTGTGGCAACTTTTTTTACTGGTCTGCGCCCCTAGGCCCCACGCTCCGCAGAAAGTGCGTCTACAATGAGCTCTAGGGGGCGGCCTTCTTCATTAATGGTCTTCTGCTCTTAAATTTGACACGTGCGTGCGTGCTGCAGTGCTAGCTAGCGCTGGCAGGACAACCACAGCATGCGCGCTTATCCATCCTCCATTACCAACACTACTGGCGCTGTCAGTCACTGGTTAGTGAAGTAGGCTGAAATGGTTAGCGCACAGAATTTAACTTTAGCAACCAACTCAGGAACTCATGCAAAAAAGGTAGGATAACACCTTTCTGAAATCTAACATTCTAGTCACAAAGAATTAAAACACTGTTGATGCTTCATGTATGCCTTTCGCATTGGCCTACTTACTTGTGCATGCCCAATAAACAGGCATGATGGTTTGGGCCGTGAGACGTCTGTTTCCGACAAGCGATGTATCAACATCCCGACGCCACTTTTGGTTGATGTTACCTGGAAAATTTCGTTTATTTGAAAAATGTCAAAAGACGTGAATTTTAAGACTGAAACACTCTCCCACTTCCCAGCTTTGTGGCTAATGTCAACAAAATTAAAAACGCAATAAATAACAACCAAACTGATAATTGCTGAAATGTGCTTGAAAAGGCAATGATACAGTCCAAGATCATCTCTGTGGGGCCCAAAACATGAAAATTATGGTATTTTTTGTGACATATAATTGACATATGTTTTGTGACATGCTAGCTAGGCCTATTTCTGTTCACCTTACCCCTCAGAACTGTGGGGTCCGACGTCCGCCCCATTTGTGGGAGCAGGGCGGACGTCAGACCCCACAGTTCTGGGGGTATGTTCACCTGACTTAACACTAAAGCAGTGGACTGACATCAGATCCAGCTTTGTTACTAAGACTACCTAACAATGGGCCTCACCAGAAATTTTGTAGCTTTCTGATTTATTGATTGATTTTTATGAATGAGATGTCATTAAAAAGCTTAAAGAAGTCCTCAAAAGACTGTTGCAATAACAATCATGAGGACTGGGAATACATGTATTGTATGTAGTGTAATAATTCCTGCTTGGTGCATGCAATTTTTATGAGCTTTCACTTAAGCAATTTTAAGTCTCCTTATCTGCTGTAAGCTTGGTACGTAAGCGAGTTGAATGTCAAGGGAATTTTTATTCAAAGCGGGAGGCAGAGAAAGAAACCATTGTCTTGAGGTGAATGGGTTACTCTTAACCATGAAAACAACACTGTCTGCGTGATTTATTGCAGTCCTTGTGCTATCATTAACATCCGGTGAACAGCGCCCTCTATAACTTGGGTTAAACTTGCATCAGTCTCTTGTTTGTAACTGAAAGTTCACAATGGTAGCGTGCGTAGCACTGTTTGGCTACTTTCGTAAAAAATTACTTCTATAGTGCTTTGCCCTGGAGTTATGCTTTGATTCTTGCCTGGTTTGAAGGGTCTAGCACGGGCAGCTCCCAGTCGAGAACCAGCCTGAGAATGAACATGGGCAGTCTTTATATAGCCGCAATGCGAATGCACTGCATGCCCCAGCTCTATTTGCATATCTAACACAGAGCACACTGATTGGTTCTTCAAACAACCATTTTGTAGATTGTCACAGGGCTGCAGTATGCACGTGTGACTATTCTCATCTCAAAGCCGTACACAGGGCAAAGGTAGGCATGATGTTACAATGACACTATTCGTGCACTGGATGAAGTAAATGCAACACACTGCAGAACCAGAACTCAAAGATAAGCAATTCTAAGTTCTCAATTGAATAAAGTAATTCATAGAGCTTCAATAACAATTTATATGCTTAGTCAGATAGAGTTTAGGAAGCACTTAAACCATATTGGTGATTTCGAGTTGACTTTTAAATAACCAAATAATGATACAATCATTGTAAAAAATATGGAAAATTTCTTTAGCTTCAGCAAAAATAATGGTGATTTTGATCACCCTAATACCGGTGCAAAAGATGGGCTTTTGTACGGGCAACCCAGGATATTCTCCAATTTTTCAAGCGGTTTTTCATGATGGAATCCGGTTGATGTCCGGTTGATGTCATTGTATAGTTATAGAAATTATATATAGAAATTGCATGCCTGGAGTGCAAAACCGAAAACGAAGCTGTGTGTAAACTGTGCATCGAAGCCACACTGCAATTGCCACATGCCTAGACAGTATTGTACTCTAACAACCCAAACTGCAGCTGCACCTCCGTGTGCCTTTGGCCATATTACTGCATGCCTACGTAGGTATCTGTTACAGGAATATACCAACTATACATTTGATGTATGTTCATACATTTTAAATCAGTAATGTACAGCTTAAATGAGACATGCTGGGGGTTAATCAAAGAGGGCAGATACCATGTGATTTCCTATCAATCTTAGAATCCAATGAATCAGAAATTAGTTCCTTCATAATCCAAAGTCATTCGATATAGGCTTATCGATTATTTGGACCTTGATTGTTGTAACTAGAAAAGAAGAAAGTTACAGTTTGTAATGCTGTTATTATTTTTGTTTAATCTAGCCTCTGAGGTAAATTACTGGTGATTTAAATTCCACTTTATCGATCAATTTTTCCCATGAGGGCAATTGTGAGGCGCTTTTAGCTCTTGGAAATTTCATAACAGTGGTTTGTAGACCATTGGAGTTTTACCCAATGGAGGGGAGGGAAGGAATCTTAGTTTACCTACACAGCTACGTAGCACTGCATATTTTACTAATCCTGTCAGCATCAGTCCATTCACGCTGCAAAGACTTGTGTGATGAACAGGGTGAAAATAAGATTTAATTCCCCCCGCCTCTGAAAATGGTCAAACCGACATGCGGAGCTAGCTCAACAATTGGCTCACCATATGTGCAGTGTGATGCTCACAAATAGTATGATATGGTTGTGATCGTCATTGGTGGAAACTGAGACTTTGGTAACTAAAAGCTCTGATTTGTCAAAAAATGGTCATGGTCTAAAAATTACTGTATAAAATTTTAAGAGCTGTAGGTACCTCGTGATGACTCTAATGAGAAAATGTGATTGAAATAGTGGAATTTGCATCGCTAGAAGTTTTTCTCAGAGGCTGGATTTAAAAGTAGATGGCATTGCAACCCGCAAATGGCCAAAAGGCACACAGAAGCGATTGTTGGTTTCCTGAATTACCTGGAGGCTTGATTCGCTGGGAGGCAGTATTTGTTTCCAGTGATTTCTAGCCCTAATACTTCAGGGTTTTCTTCCTTTCATTTCAGAGAGATTTTGCCTGTACCTTTGAGGGATGCAGTAATGCCTACACAAGGAAGATCCACCTTCAACGTCACTTAACAAGTCACTCTGACAAGAAGGACTTTGTGTAAGTTTTTGTTGTTTTTTATTTGTTTCCTTGGGGGGAGGCAGGTGGCGGGTTGTGACCAGGTTTCCTTCACACAGAGCCACATCTTGTACTATTGGTTGGTAGATTTTTGATCACGACATTTGACTAGGTAATGTATTTACAAGAGGGGGGGGAATCAAATATTTTTTCTTTTGTAAAATAAACAAAATGAACCTTTTGGACACAGTAAGCGAATTTGTGTCCAAATGTCAACGACTATTTACGACAATAATCTACAAGAAGATGGTTTGGAATAATAATTTGCGGTTGTGTTGCATGTTAAAGAGATACAGAATCACCTCGGTGTGTTTTCAAGACCACAGAGCTGCTCAACTGGACCTTGAAAACGAAGCCTTAATTTCATTGTTACAGTTTGGTTGACATAGAAGTAGAAATTGCAGAGCTGCCTGGTATCCACCTTCAGCAGAAGCACCCTGTCATAGGTTGAAACAAGCCATACTGGTTGGCAGTCTTTGTTTTGTTGGTAGTAACGCTCACACAATGCGTGCATTACACAATTGGTTCTATCAAAAGAGTCCCTGTCACTAAAAAGATTGCACCCTCTCTTGGTCCAGCTTGGGGCCCATAGCTCGGGCTGTGCCCGGTGGCTAAAGTTCATGCAATGACACAGGCAAAGCAAAATCACAGTCCTCAAAAATAATCTGGTCTCTACGGGGATCGTGTCTGCTCAGATCTGATGCCTTCCAGATCACTTTCACTTTCCCAATTAGGACCTCACAGGGGCATGTGGCCAAGTGGTTAGGGTCTATGGTTTCCAATCATAGGGTTGGAGGTTCGAACCCATCTGCTGGGAGTATGTTGTGGCCCTTGGCAAGCCACTTCACCTCTGTTTGCCTCTCTCCACCCAGGAGTATAAATGGGTACCAGCATTAGCTGGGGAAGCAACCTGCGATGGACTGGCATCCCATGGGGGGGGAGTGTGGGAGAATACAAATATTCTCAGTTGTTTCATGCCAACTGGAGATAAACACCAGCCTGATGAGCCAAATTGGCTTGGACCAGACTTGCCAATTACTCTTGGCATCTTTCATTGTCGGCAAAACAAAACTCCCTTGTAGTGTTTGTCAAAGCGTCTGAAAAGCAGAGTTGTAAGCATCAAATCTGAGCCCCTGCTTACCTGTTGATAACCCTCCTGAAGGTGATTACACAGTACCATTGCAAATAATGAAATCATTAGTATCCTTGCACTATGTACTGCTAATAAATGCATGAGCAATTACAGTTGTTGCTATGTGTAATTCAAGATTTGAGTCCAAGATGATGCAGTTGGCACTTTGAACCCCCAGCTAGAGCAAGAGATGGTGCAATTTGCCTAGCAACAGAGACTGCTTTGGTGGGTTCTCTGGTTCATGAAGGACTATGAAATGCACACGTTACAGTTGCATGGCTAGTAGCAAAATGAACACTCTTCACTCTTTTTAACCAATGAGGGGGGGTGCTTCAGCTTGAGGATTGGGCAAATTTGTTGAGACTTTAACATTTAAAAATAGGGGTGATACTAGAAAGTTGAACAACAAAATGCAATGAATTAATACTTAACTGTCTCCCTTGATTGTCATATTAACAATGGCTATTCACTAACAAAGCCAATCCAAAGTATTGGAGCTATGGTGCATAGTTTGACAAAGTGTATTGTCTACATTATTTGTGTTAATCAGTTGCTTAGAAGATAACTGTGGTAAGGCCTTCAACAATAACGACACATTGAAGAAGCACATTCGCAGGATACACCGGGAGAGGCTTTTTAAAGTAAGGTTCTTATTGGACAAACCTAGAGTCCCCTTTGCTTTTAGTTGAAGCTCACCTGGTCAAAGGTTATTCTTCTAAGTGCTCTATGGGAGGCAATGAAAAGGGGGGAAATGATAGTCTTTACTGGACTGGAAGCTACCATATAATCTAATTTTCAACTGTTAAACTACTGTAGTTTTGTGGGATTTGTTGGTCAGTTTGAAGTTGATCTAGATGGATTTAGCATGAAGATAATAAATGTCAGATCAATCTTCAAGATGTATTTTTTGCGTTGGGGAGATGTTAATTATATATAACGGGTTTTGCCCATACCCAACGTATATTAATAAGCACTGTATACTCAGTGCTTGTCCGAGAGCTTGCCAAAAAAAAATCACAAGCTTACTCGGGTAACAAAAAAAAATACATCTTGAAAATAGTTCGCGGTACCCGCTGCTTCATTTGACTCGGACCGGCCAGCTGACCCCAGCAAGCTCGGTGGTCGAGTGGTTAAGACATCTGCACTAGTAAGCAGGAGGTTGTGGGTTCGAATCCCACCCGAGTAAGCTAGTGAGGTTTTTTTCGCAAGCTCTCGGACAAACACTGAGCATACAGTGCTTATTAATATACGTTGGGTAAGGGCAAAACCCGTTATACATAGTCAGATGAATCTATTGAGCTTGCTTGATCCATTCTGCTGCATTTGTTTGAGATGGGATAATTTTTTTATGAATGAACAGTGTATGCTATTGGACCTTGGCATTGTGCTCGCACTTTTAATTTATCTGAAATGTCGACCAACCAAATTACTGTTTGCAGATTAACTTGACTTTTTTCACACTGGGTAAAAGACCATGCATAAATGCTGGTGAATACATGTTTGTACAAATGCCTACATGCATTTTCAGGTATTTATCCCCTAATATTTTTTATTTTTTCCATTTTTTCCTGTCTTACAGTGCAGCCATGAAGGATGCAACAGAACATTCAGGAAACATCAACATCTCACTGTCCACAGCTTTGTTCACACAAACATCAAACCATTCAAGTAAGTTTCTTTAAACACGGAGGCCAAAGGATCTAGCTAGTATGTCACACAGGATTTAACTCATTTTAGTTTTGGTGTGTTTTTGTAAAACCAGGCATTACATCGATCA